AAAGAAAAGAAAGAAAAAAGAAAAAGGCTCAGCCGATCCTTATCCAAATTGTTTTCTTTTAAGCCCCTTGACCTTGAAAAGTTTTACTATTAAGTTCATTAATAAGAATCTCTCACAACTAAGTCCCTAAAAATTTGGGGATATTACACCATCTAAGGTTGTGATATAACTTGGTCAATGTGATAGAGTTTCATGGTTTATATACTTTTAAACCTTATTATTTCATGGAAAATATATATTGTTATTCTTAATGTTTTTTAATAATTGACCACTATTAAAACTAATTTGGAGAGCATAATTGAGATCGAAAGGAGATTTTATATAGTAACCTTTAGTAATATATACCATAAATTGAATAAAAGTTAGAGATGGATTAATGTAATTCATGCAATATTAGTGCATCTTTATGTATTTAAATTTACATCACGATATATTGGGTTAATAGGTAGAGATAGTTTTCATATAACTTGAGAAAATATATCAAATAAGATAGAAAATCTTATTGTCACATGAGTAGTAAAGATCTTATAAGTATATTAATTTAAATTCTACATTAGTTGATTATAATAAAATTAGATGCCTTAGAATTTTAACTCTTTGTGTCACTTAGAGTAAATTTAATTTTTCTTTAATTAGTTTAGTTAATTAATTTATTCAAATCATTTAATTTTAATTGTTCAAATAAAATTAAATTTAGTTAATTTTGGTACTTAATTTATTTATAGTTTCTGTGAGATAATACTTAATTTTTATTATTATATTACTTGAACTAATTAGTACTCTTACTAGTGTGAGGTTAGGTCTTCAATTATCTTTAATTAATTAGTTTTCTTATTTGTTTTATTATTTTAAGAGATAAAATCATTTTCAGTACATAGCATACACATAATTAGGACTGTTAATTTAGTCTCTACATTATGAGTGGGTGGGGTTATTATCACACAATTCTTGCTCATAAAATATTGAGAAACAGTAATAAAGATATAATAATCAATTAAATTAAAAAGATGCACATTAATATTGTTGAGAGTGTGATAATAACTCCATCTATTATGATTGCATACTTGCAATGACAAATTTGTTGAATCTTGGAAGATAAGTCGCTATTAATCAATCTATTGCACTGAGAAATATTTTGATAAAAGAGCAATATACTTTTAAGGGTAGTGACTATAGGACTCAAATTTGTTGAATAAAAAATAATATTATTTCTAGGGCAGTTAAGACCCTGTGAAATCTTGTGACATCACATTTTATTTTCACTGCGGTACACACCTTGATCAATAATTATTCCAGGGGTAACAAATATCGAACTTACCACTATCACCATTCAGCCTACAACATCCATGAGATAATACCTCCCAATTACAATTGTCACATTTTCGAGCATCTCTGCTTGCCACAAAAATGTCGAACCAGTGAAAATCTTGTCCCCATGCCGTGCTACAATAAAAACGAGTTGATAATCCATTAGATGATACCTCCCAGCTGTTTTGATAAGAAATTTGTTTCTCTCCCAAATCATCGTCCCCTGATTTGCAATGTACTTTTAGGTTCACGCTGGGATCAATAGTGTTGATAAGTTGAACATTACCATGGCCAATTATCAACACTAATATTCCCAGTAATGCTAGTTGCAGTTGCAAGGAAAATAAATAAGGTTAGCAAAAAATAATTTCTAGGAAAGATAGGGTTAACCATTTTTTTGGATAATTGTGATATGCTATTGTCTTTCTCCTATTTTTATATGTACTAGCTAGAAGGAGAAAAAGTGCAGATAAAAATATAAACTTTGTATTTTTTTTTTTAGATGTGAATTTTATCAATTTTTAAAAAAGATAATAAATATTTAATTTTTTCTATTTAAAAATACCAATGTTACATTTTTTTGTTTAAAGATTAATTGAATGGTCAAAAAAGTCATTTGCCATTTCAGTATTACTATCTAATTAATCCTTAAATAAAAAAATTAAAAATTTACCATTTTATTTAAAAATTAACAAAGTTTGTTATTCTTAAATAAAAAATTAATGAAATTCATATCCTTATAAGCAACTTTTTCTTGTACTAGAAAATAAGATCTATGTCAATTTTCCTTACTATAATTTCCTAACTACATGATTGTATTTTGAGATTTGTATCCATTTCTATCTATCTTACCATATTGGGCTATAATTTGATTCTTAGTGTGTCTGAGGCAAAAGTCTGTGTTTAGCCCTTTACTTTAAGAAATTTGTTGTTTTAGTCTCTTACTTTACACATTAAAACTTTTAGCATATAATTTTAAAAGTTAGAATTTTAGTCCCTAAACTAATAAAAGTTGTTAATCTTTCTGTTAAGTGAAATTCAAGAATTGTAAGATCAGTCCCCAAAGTTTAAGAAAGTGACAATCTATTCCCAAAAGTTTTTAAAATAAATTAACAAACCAAAAGCTTTTGAGACTAGATTGTCACTTTTTTAAAACTTTAGAGACTGATCCTATAAATTTTTTATTTCATTCAATAAGAGTTAACTACTTTCATTGGTCTAATGGCTAAAATTTTCAAACTTTAGAGTTTATGAGCTAAAAGGTTTAATAAGTAAAGGGCAAAAGCAATAAACTTAACAAGAGGTTAAATGTAGACTTACCATATTTGGTATGTAAATGAATTCTTATTTTAAAAATTTTTTGAGTGTGTTTTGTTTAAATGAAAATAGAATTCATTTAATTTTGAAAAATGAATGCATAAGAACCGATTTGGAGATTTATTTATAAATGAACTTTTTATACAAGAATAATGCATATCAATCCGATTCTTAAAAAGAATTGAAATTTTAACCTTAAATAATATATTATTTTATTTTTTGATATTATAAAAATTATTAAAATTACTAATAAATCTCAAATATTTACCTAATAAATCTTTTAAAATCTTTAATAAATCTGTTAAAAATACTCATAGAATCTCAAATAAATATCTAATTGGCCTCTCTTAAGAGTTTAAAACCCACCCCAAATTTAATATTTCAATTTAAATATTCATTCTGTCCTAAAATAATTTTTGTTTTTTGACTTTTTTCTTAAATTAAGGATTTAGGGACAATTTATATACTTATCTATATTATCAATAGGAAAAAAAATTTAAAAGTAAAGATATACTTTTTGTCATAGAATAATTAATAGAAATAAATATGTAATGATAGAGTTAAATAAGAAAAAAAATTCTACCTAAAAAGTTTAAAATGACAATTAATATAGGACAAACTTAAAGTAAAACAATGACAATTATTTTGAAATAAAAAAAGTAATATACTACTTGACTTTAATTTAACTTATAGATTTTAATTCAAATTCTAATTAAATTTGTACTCAAACTTAAATGATTATTTATATTATATACAAGCACTTCTAAGAATTGTATTAGTATTTTATTGTCTTTCTTGTTATTATATTATAAAATGATTAAATTTTTTAATAAAT